AAGATGCTCAAAGACCAGTAAGTTGCAGATTCCCTAATCAGTTTCTTATTTTTGGCCCAGTTGAACATCCCGTTACCATCAGTCACCAACAAGTAGGGTATGCAAAAAAGGATTAATTAAAAAATCAAGGCATACCCCCTTGCTTGAACTTGCCACAAGTTGACCACTCCATCCAAGGAACTGCAAGAATTACAAAAAAGGAGCAAATCAGAACCAGAAGAACAAATTTATCATACATAAGAGAGTGGGGAGAAACAGCAGGCGCCCTGGGGGGTGTTTGATGCCACAAGTTTAAAAACCACAAATATAAGTTTAAAGATCACAAGGCACGAAACGATAAACTGAGTTTACAGATGAACTTCAAAACTATCCATCCTTTTGACCTACACTTCAATCTAGGCAAAATCAAAGTTTAAGTTGACCTACACTAACTAGCAAGCAATCTTTCAGCTTGGAATGTTTTTGTTAACTTGTAGTTTTCTTTAGAAAAGGGGGAAGTACAAGTTAATACTAGGGAAAAAAAACAGAAACTAAAATAATCGATGTCCTTGAAAAAAACTACTGAAACATATTTTCTTAGAAATACCTAGTCACGAAAAGCTGATCATTCACTGGACACAAAGCAAGACTCCGCAATTTCCTCTTGTGTTGACTTGAGATATGGGTGCTTGTTTGACAGTGTATTAAACATGGTGAAGAATTAGTACGGATTGAAGGAATCAACTCCTTGTGTTCTTTCTGTTCTGGAAAAAAAAATGCGATTCTGATGAAACTTTATGACAACAACAAATAATTTTGGAATAAAAAATATGAAAAACTGGGCAACAACAACCATTAAATTCAGATACAAGTATATGACCTCAAATATATGCTAACAATAAATATAAAAGTATTAATGCAGGTTACACTAGTGATCAAGGTCTTACCAAACTTCCTTTTTGTCCCTTTTTCCTTGATCTTAATATCTTCCTGTTTAGTATAAAGTCGTTGAGACTCGTTAGTTTTTACTCTGGAGCCACTTGCTGAATGAGTAATGACTGGTGGACTGGCTTGAGAATTGGAACTTATTGAGGCTTTTGCAGAAGACCCTGGCAACAATTTAGGCTGTGAAATTTTTGGAGGAACAGCAGGAACAAGAAGCTCTGGTTTAGACTGATGTGGGCTTTTGGATGAACCTTCATTTCTATGAATGGGACTGTTTGACCTGCGCTCCATCTTCACAGATTTAGTTCCTTCATCCAAGGAACTTTTTCCTGATACCACATTAGGTTGGCCTCGAAGGCGAGCCAATTTGGATTCAGAATCTTTCAACCTCTTCTCTGCTTCCTCAAGCTGCGCATCTTTCCCAAACATGAAATCAGCTAATTTTTCGTGTTGTGAAGATGTAAAAAGGATTGTAAAAGTTGGTATGACATGACAAAACAATTAAAATCACAGCATATATCAATTTCAGAGAAAATCCTGTATTACTACTCACTGAAGCACCCACAAAAATTATAAGCAAATCCTGTGAGGAAATTTATTAAGTTTTGAATAATAGGTCCTACCATAGACCACAATTTGAAAGCCATCTAATTACAGTCTTCAACGATTGATGGAAAAAATGCGACGCTCAGACGTTGAGCACTAAAAACATATATTGCCATGAATGAAGGCAGTGCGCGTCAGGATTTTAAGTGTGAAAATAAATTGATACTTAATGCCAAAGAAAAATTTAACAAGAAGTCATCAGAATATCACAATTACAACGACCCAACTTGACAACGCCAGAGGCAATCACGGAGTTAAATGACCTGCATTGAAGGTGGGAACTTAAAAGCTTCAGGAAGAGAGACCTAAATCTTCAAGTTCTAGAGGCATTTGAGTTTGGATAACTGTAAAGAATCGAAACTGACCACAACATCGTCATTTCAGACACCTCAGTGGCAGCATATGAACGGACAATAAGACTAATATTAATCAAAATATGCCTTTTTTACGTCCATAAAGATTAGACGGTTAGAGAAAGAGATGAAGAAAAGGATGAACCAGCAACCTGAGATGTGTAATAGGCGATGCGTTGACGGAAATTTTTAACTTCACGGGTACGATGCTCAATCAAAGCAACCAAAGCCTCCTCCTGTTCTTCCCTGCTATTGCTGCCGCCATTGGCGTCGTGCGCACCGTTTTGTTCCATTTGTTCTCGATGCCTGCTACTGATACTGCTTAATCATCAACTCCTACTAATCGGAGGATCCTCGCTTATATGGAATTCAAGAACTTGAGAAATTTGCTCCCGTTCTCTGAGACAAGCTGATGGAAGCGAAGGCTTCCCTTGGCTCTATACGCTGCACCGAACAAGGAACGAAGACTCTTACGATAAAAATTATCCCAGCACGAAGTTCTAATCCAGACAGGTGTGTTCTTAATTAAAAAAAAAAATTCTAGATGATATTTTCTTTTGCCAACTAGAATTCTAGATGATGTTAAAGTATGATTTAAATCAATCAATCAAATTCCTTACCAAAAAAAAAAGGAAAAATTACACTCAGGTCCAACAGAGCACAATTAATATAAAAAAGGTTCCTCGAAATCGCAAACTGATTCTGAAGTCCCCAGGGACTTGTGTGCAATTAATTCTAATTGTGAAATTACGTAGTTACCCCTGTTAATTTGAACCTATTTACAACCTCAACAGTGGCTGTTAACAACCCGAGAAGAGGTGGTTAACAACCTCAACAACGCCCCTGGCATTCCATAGAGCGAGTTGTCATGAGCACTGCCGAGGTTATCAATCACGTCTTCTCGGGTTGTTAACAGCCACTGTTGAGATTGTAAACGAATTGCTGCAATAAAATTAGAACTTATTTACTACATCAACAGTGGCTGTTAACAACCCGAGAAGAGGTAGTTAACAACCTCAACAACGCCCCTGGCATTCCATAGAGTGAGTTGTCATGAGCACTGCCGAGGTTGTCAATCACGTCTTCTCGGATTGTTAACAGCCACTATTGAGATTTGTAAACAAATTGTTGCAATAAAATTAACAGGGGTAAGTAGGTAATTTCACAATTAAAATTAATTACACACAGGTCCCTGGGGACTTCAGAATCATTTCACGATTTCGTGGGACCTTTTTTATATTAATTGTGCTCTGTGGGACCTGAGTGTAATTTTCCAAAAAAAAAATCAATCAATCAAATTATAATAATAAATCATTCATAAATAAATTCAACTCATGTTTTATTTAATAAAAATGTTGTAACTCCAAAATAAAAATATTAAAGAATTTGTAGCGTTGTGCATAATAAATTTGCGCGGGGTAAAAGAAATGTCAATTAAAAAAAAGATAAAATAGCAAAGTGTTTATTATTTTATTCTTTCTCCAAGAGATTATCTAGCATTTAAATAACATTATGAATGCGTTACCAAATCACGCTTCAAGAAAGATGTATCTACGCATCTTAATATCTCTATTAAAAAAGAAAGTATTTATGCAAAATCAAAAGCATTGTTTAAAAATTGGTGGGATTGAAGTCCGTCCACGTGGAGAGTAGTATTTTACAATAAATTATGCAATAAATATGAGATAGAAATAATAAAAAATAAAAAAAATGAAAATCTTCTTTTTTTGCCAGAAGAAAAAAAATGAAATTCAATGTATATACATTCATACAGATATATGTACACCGTGGAATCTTAAAACTTGTGGGTACCGCATGGAAACTGTCTCTTTTCATAGTACTTTGTGCCCTTTTAATTCTGGGTGCTTTCTGGTGCTACCTTAAAATTTACGACAAAAGAGCTTGCAATCGAATAATCATTGTGTTTAGAAGTTAGAACTTCCCCCCCCCCCCATAGCAGAACTTTTTTTTTTTTGCCACTTCAGAAGTTAGAATTACCTAAAGATCCAAGGTGATAATACTTTTTGGATAAGCAGTCTCAAAGGCGATATAGAAAAAGCGATGGCCGTACAAATTAACGAGGGAAAGATTGAGCATAACAAAGAAAATAAAACATATACTCCTTAAAATCACCGTTCTATTTTTCGTAAAGTGATACGGTTTCATTGCATTACGAATTCCTATTTTACTTGACAAGTTACCTGCTTAATTACCATTACATGCTTATTTGACTCGTATATTTTATATATCGATAAGCAATACCTTTGTGCCAATTGATGCAATCCTAGTTTTAGCCTCATAAGATTCCAAGCAAGTAGTGTACCAGAAGCCGGTAAATGTCACATTTTTCTTTTCATTCTGGGCTTTTGGCCACGTCTGTGACTGTATTACGTTAAAACTTACAATTGGCTTCCTCGTAATATGTGACTTTCGGCTCAAGAGTAAACGTTAATGCTACATCAACTATCAAAAGTCAACGTTTTTTTTCCTTTGACCAAGCTGTATCAACATAGAATCGCACTCTTCATTTTAATGTTTAAGCCGTCTTAACGCTTCCAGAACATCCACGAAATGCTTTGCTCGAGACATCCATGAAGATTTTATAAACGAACATTTCTGAATGGGATTGTCCATAATTCCACTGGCTTTTAGCATCAACAGAGTTGATAATGCAAGATGATATAGACATAGACAATCAAGGAGATTTTTAAGAGAAATAACTATATGAGAAAAAGTATATAGCACCATCGAATTAAATATAGCAATTTAAACCTCCCTCAGGAATCGTCCCATAGACCAATGCCTGAGGGTATAACAACAAATTTACATGAGAACAGAGAGACAAAATAACCAAAACAAAATCAGCAAAGTCCCCTTGAAACCCTATGGCGACTATGGTATCAAAAGAACTACTGCGAATTGTGACAGTGTCCCTTCACAGCTAGCCAAAATTTTGAGCTTCAATTAAGCCATTCATTCTCTAAACCCCATAAGATGGATGCAGAATTCCATGCAAATCAAGAAAAAGAAAAAGTACTACGATCAGTCACTTCATTCTGGATATGTACCTCAGCCTCTGAAAACTTGTGCAAGGCTTCTTCTCTATAGGCAAAATTTGTGAGCCCCCCCCTTTACTTCCTGGTCTAACTCTCCCTCCAACAAAAAGAAAAAGGCAATATACAGATTCAAGCTGAATTTCATGGCGCAAGATTGAATGCCTAGTGCCTGAGGCAAAGTCAGTCAGAATTCTTTGAAGAGCTCAATGAAGAATCTATTCCATTAGTAGTAGGTCCCTCTCCACCTGCCAAAGTTGAAGGACTCCCCTGGCTGCGATTCTCCTCATTATTGCTACTGCCGCGAGATTTTCCGGGCCTCATTCTAATACTAGTACCCATGGGGAAGGGTTCCTGCAGAGACAAAATAAAGTCAAATTTGTACCAGCGCGAAATATTTAAGAAACCAGATATTAGATGCGTTTAGTTAGCAGAAATTTAAATTTAAGATCTTTATGTTATGACAAAATTCATTCCTCAAAACCAACTGACATTGGGATTTGGGAAGCCTCCACATTGAAAACTCGATCTATTAAATGCACACTACTAGTTCAAGAAGCACCGCATCGCCATCAAAAGTCAAAACCAGCTCGAGCCAGATCCATTATGACTAAAATAAGTTGTTAGCAGCATATAAAGAGTATCCCTACAGAAAACTGCTTCTAGCTGCTATGATCACCATTAAACTTTGGGATTAGTATAAGCACCAATCAATTGCATATAATGTGTCCCCTAACGTTACTACTGCCGCAGATTAGCATCTAAGATCTTAACCTTGTATATTTCAGCTAATTTCTAAGACCAAAAGACGATGGAATTGAATGAGGAACTTAAGAGATATGAACTACATATCACTACTAACAGCATAAGCATGTCATTAAATGATTAACCATGTCTGAGAAGTAGAGAATCAGTAGGAAGCTTTTAGTTAATCTAGTTTATTCTTAAAAATGGGAAACAATAACTAAACAACAAACTGATCTTATGCCATACCGGATCACCAGCATTTGGGCCATCCGTGTGGAACAGAATAGGACGGCAACGCTTGTCTTCATTCATCAGGCTTGAATTCTGGAAGTGAGCAATAAGTGCAGCTTTGCCCTGAATTCGGGCATATGCAAGTGAGGCTACCTTTTCACTATTAAATTTCTCCCATTTTTTCCCATTAAATGCCTGCATATGATGGTTCTCTTATATTAGCTTCATCAACTCAGAATTCACCCAGCACCATTAAATAACTCAAATTAATGTTAGCTAAGATTTACCTGGTGGAATGGAATAATCTGAGCAGGATCAATCATATTAATAAATGCGTAGCCAACATTACATTTGTTCTGCAATTATTTGTACGATCGAATAAGAAATATGTCAAGGATGTCTCAAGAGGAAAGAAGCAACAGACCACAAATAAATGCTTGCCTTAAAGTCAATTGGCAAATATAGAAAATCATAAGTTCCCCGACATTGCTCATCTATAGCAGCTAGAAGCATCTTTGAAGTATACCTGTCAAACAAACAAAAAATAGAGGAAGAAAAGAAATCACCAAGTTAGCGTCAAATGTTTCAATGCTTCACTAGTCAGCCAATGCAAACAGTATATGCTGTGCGCATGTGATTGTTGGGCAAAAATTTTGTAGCTTTAAGCCTGAAGCACCATGCTATGCTGTGATTTGAAGAAGAAAAGATAGCATTGCAAGCAGCAATAAAAAGAAGTCAGGAAGACAAATGACATACTTGTTGGGAATATTTTTTATCATGAGAGTTGTTCGACTGTCTTCCCCACGCATTATGCAGCCTAGGTCAAGTTCATATTGCTTTTTATCAGCATTATTAGCGTTAGCTTCACTTTTCCGGAGGGGATACAGACTCCTCATTCGTTCACTGGAATCAAGTTTGGACATAGAATTCATGGGATGTCTCCCAGGGAAAAGATGTGACAACTGATTAGGAGAGTTTTGCCCAGCAGTTGGCGTCAATTCTGCACCATTCCCACCAATATGAGGGAACATGTTGTGAGAAGAAAAATCTGGGGGATGCAATTGCCAGCTACCAGGTACACCAGCACTTCCTAGAGAACCCATACGAAAACCAGAAGTTTCAGGAGACACTCCCAAATAAGAGTGCTGCCTGTCCCAGGGTGAGGCATTAACAGGAGCTGACCCAACATGATGGTCCATATGTGATGCTCTCAGCATGTGAGGCTGTGTTCTCGGAAAGCCAGGCATTTGTGGAAGGCCAGAAGCACAAGCACCATTAACAAATGATGGTGTTTTCTGCCAAAGCATGGGATTTGGTGAAGGTTCCTGATGCAAATTGGAGTTGTTCCACACATGATAAAGTCCATGACGTTGATGGTTCCCATTTCCTGTAGATCCAAAACAGAAGAAAGATTTCAAACCGAGATTTAAATGCAAATCTATACCCACACCCACAGCCAATATTTTTGTATCTCGATAACCATTCAAAACTTGATAGAAATGTTAATTTGGAGGGCCATATTTACTTCATCATCCGCAATCATAGACAAACAGACAGAAGTGTTTCTGAGCATTAAAAAGTCATTTAATTTCTGATATTAGTAGAGTTATTTCTGTTTTTTAATAAAAAAACATAAATTAAGAAGAAGAACATGAGCACTCAAAGCATCATCCATAGTCAAGATTCAAGTCCATCATTATTGTAAGTGGCCAGAATGTCATCTTAAGAAAGTAAATCAACCCTTGTGATATTTTCAAACCCGTTGTCACTATTTTCAATAGATAGGAAACCAATTTAAAACTGGTGCAACAACAAACAGTTGCGCATGAAGCTGCTCGTGCATACACAAAACAACTGCACATTTCCAAGTACCTGCTCCAGTAAATTCCATCAGATTCCCAGGTGAACCTATTCCCTTATTGTGCCTGCTATCTGAGTTGTCTGTCACTGCAGTCCCGATATTGCCAGCCACATTGCCAACAATGCTTGAAAAATTGTAAGCACTACCATTAGCAAAACTTTCATGATAATCAGGGAGGGAATGAGGGTGGAATCTTGGAAGAGAGGCAAATTTCATTGCATCAAGGAAGTTACTGGACTCGCAAACACTGGGCACTTTTCCAGAAGTTGGCCCTCTCACTGATTTGTGGATGCTAGAATTCACAGGAGAGAAAGCATTATCAATTAACGGAGTGATAGGTTGCTGCATTGCAGGGCGAAATCCTGGATTAGATCCATTGTCTAAGCAGCCAGATGCAATTACTCCAGAAGACATTGTTGCTGTAAATGATGTCTAGTGAGACCAGGAAAACAGTGGCTTCCTAAGGAAAAATATTGATAACAGCTTCAAACAGAGACAAGACAAGCATACCTCTCTGTCTTAGTGACAAGTTGTCACAAAGACTTTGACCAAAATCAGGTTCATCTTGGCCATTGTGAGACTCCTGCGTCAGACTACAAAAGCATAGCTTCCACGATTATTTACAAACAAAAAGAATTACTAGAATAAAGGGTAAGTGTTTATTTCCATTTAAAAACAGAAATCAAGGTGATTCATCACAATTCTGCACTTCATAAACTGCTTAGAAGACAGAAGTCTGCTAACAGTTAGAAGCAGCGTATTGAAAAGCAGAAAATAGAGTTAAAGCTACTAAGGAAACAAAAGAAAAGGGAGAAGTCACCATGTTGTTCCCCGAGGATGGCCAGGTTCAAGCTTGATCTGCTTACCAGCAATGTCACTTCTGTTTAATGCACGGAGAGCGGCTTCTGCAGCTCGCACATCATAAAATTCAATAATTTTTCTATAATTTACTTCTGGAGATTCATAGATCTGCAAGCAAAAACAAATGCTTCCAGCTGCTTAGACTGTGTTCATAATAAACAAAGCAATAAAAAAATGGCTGAAAATCTGATTATGAATATCTTACTTCTTTTATTTCTCCATAAAATCCAAAAATATGTTGAAGCTCGTCATTTGAAACAGAAGAATCAAGACCAGATAGCACTAGCGTGCCATGGCTTATATCCTTCTCAGGAGCATTGCCCTAATGTGTCAGCAAGTTAAGATGCTTTTATGAGAAAAGCATGAAACATAGAAGACAGAAACAACTGAACAACCAAAGCACAAATAATCAATACGATTATACTAAATGCAATTACTGATACGACCTCCTATATTTATCCAAATGATTATAAAGGAAGAGGAATCATGCACGCTGCACACTGGCAAAGAATTATACCTTTGGAATTGAATAATGAATGTCAAGTTTCCTAGATCTCAACGACCTATTCTGGAGTGCTTGCATTGCATTTTGTGCTGCCCTTAGGTCATAGTAAGAAATCATCACAAAGCCACGATGTTTGCAGGACGTATAAATGGTGCGGATGTCTCCATATTGCTGCCAGAACAAAACATAATAGAACATTTACTTAAAATAAGTGGTATGAAATGCTTCCTGAGATTACATCTAGTAATATGAAAGAACAAAGACGCACCTCAAAAAGAGCCTTTAGCTCAGAATCTTCAACATTGCTATTGATGTTTCTAACAAAAAGTGTTCTAGAAGGTTGTTCACCAAAAGGAAGCTTGCCTTTAAAACCTCCAAAATAACTAGAATCTACATCCAGACTACCAATTTTCTTTCCAAAACTGAGAGGTTCATCGCCTTCAAGTTCCATGCCTCCGCCGCTACTAAACAAATCAAACTCCTCAAAGTCATCATTTGTTCTGGCATTGGCAGTGTATCCTAACTCATTAGTAACACCGGAAAACAGATCATCTTCATCAGGGAGGAGATTCCCAATAGTGTCCGCCTCAATTTCTTTAAGAGATTTATATGGTTCTTCCTCAGGAAATGAACCAATGGTCACAGGCTGATGAGAACGAATATCATTCCGAGTTAACCTCACTGCACCAAGATATGCATGTTATCAATACATATACAAGAATATCACTTTTAAAAGAATAAAATATAACTTTTGTTAAATAGAGTAGTAAGAGGTTGAAAGGAAAAAGACTCCACTACACAATACGTTGAGGAAGACAATAAGTAGATAAGCTGCTCTTAAACTACTGATGCGCATGCAAACTAATGCAACAGAAACTTGTTTCTAAAGTACTTGAAAAGGTGTCAATGCTGATGAATTGACTTTGCAGCATTTCCCATGAAAAATGCTTGAAAGCGATGCATTTGCATGAAACAACATCTTACAGTTTTGGCTAAATATCTCAGACAGTGAACTAGAGAATAGGCTGCTCTCATGAGAAGCTGTATCAGTGAGAATCTTCTTTCCAGTTAAACCATAAGATGTAGATTCTGGCTGCATGTGCACGTTAGACCATGATCTGGGGTGTTGATTCCTTGATTCCTTAGTAGACTTCAACACATCAATGATGCCGCCTCCACCAACATGCAGCTTTTCTGTAACTTCTCCTGACAGACTTGTTTGTGACATTGGCAAGCCAGAGCTAGCACCCATTTCTAGAGATGAGGATGTCTTTGAAATGTTTTGGGGTGATGCTCCTATTTTCCCTAAAAAATACAGCACAGCTTAATTTGCCTGAGCAATTAATTGCAAGTACAGCAGATATACCAGTTATTTATAGAACACATGCACAAGCATGCACTAATCAGCCAACCTCTGTGGACACATACACATCAGGAAAGAAGCTACTCATTCAAAATTAAAATGGTAAAATGCAACAAATTGGGACTTCAACGAAAAACACATCCAAACTTCAAACCAGCAACCCGCAACAAGTGAAATCTTCAGAAAACCATTAATAGTCCCAGCTGTACCAGGATTAAAACTTATAATAGCATAATGGTGTCTTGCACTTGCAAGTAGAGGAGTACGTCAGTATTGATTCATCATTAACGCATTGACCACTAATTGATGCCATATAATGTTATGATTCAATAAACTTCCACGTATTACATGTATTTCCGACATGGATAATTATTATTCAATGTGCATCAAAACATTTTTAAACAGTTGAAAGAGAACCGAAAGTATTATAGACCAAAAGGTCCCGAAGCGGCAACCTATTACCACAATCCACGACTGAGATCTTACATTTAACAGCTAAAGACCGAATATATAGGAAACTTTCTTATTTAAATTAGCAAGGCCATTGAATTGTGATTTGTCAATATCTATACTAAATATCTGCTTAATTATAACTATCCGTATCTCTTGCATATCGTTAATGAAACTCAGGGCATTAATGTTGAACTAAGACATCAATACATGAGCAAACAACTTAAATACATATGATTATTTCCATATAGGAAGAAAACAACAACGAGAGTCAATGGGTCCGCACCTTGTAAATAATGGTCATGAAAGGATTTTGGCTTCTGCAGTGCAACACTCCTCTGCCCAATATAAAAGTTCAAGACAGCTTCAGAAAGCCATGAGATCAAAAAGAAAATAACATTCGTGTCATAAGAGTTCATTAGCATTTTGACAAAAAGAAGACCAAAGTCTTTAAACGATTGTAAATAACATTTTGGGTCTTAAACCGTGACATTTACTATGGGTCAACTGGTGATCAAATGATAGAAGTTGGTGAAAGCATAATGAAGCGTGCGGAGCAAAATACCTCAGGAAAAAAGGAATGTCATCGAAAAGGTGGGACGAGGCAGATATGCCCCTCTGGTTCATTATTTCAAAAGGCATCGCACAGCTCAGAGTCCAAAACTCTGGAAAGAAACAATTGCAGAAAAGCTCCTTACTTGCTGGCTTTGTTGGACCCTATTCCTCGTCATCTGCTGGAAACTTAAGGTCATTTGCTTGACAAAGAAAGGGAAAGACGAAAATAAACAAGGCACTGCATAATGAACCTGCTATTGACGGAAAGAAAATTCAAAGCAACTACAGATTAAAAAAGTACCATTTATTCATCTATCTCAACAAATACACCACCAGTGGCATTATTCCCCAACCCCGCCCCAGCCAAAAAAAGGGAGGGGAAAAAGCAGCTAAAAATTATGACAAAACTGCTTCTTCGATTATAATAGGCAATGGCATATTTAAAATACAGAAGCAATAGGTTAAGCCGAAAACAGCAATAACTTCAACTAAATATCACCAGAACCACGAATGACACAGGAAAATTTTGTGAAAAGAAGAAATCTCGTTTCTTACCTACCAGCGACCTAGCACAGTTGGGTCATATAACAATCAAGAAAATGAAACAGAACCATCAATAGGGGGGGGGGGGGGAGATTTTTATTTTAATATATTTCGCAAAAGAGATAATCGCATCTAGCTTGAGCCTATAATCCTTCTCGTTTGATTCTGTCAGCAACATGAACAGATGGAAGGGGAACTTCAGAGGTAAAACCTCAAACAAAGACAGATCAAGTTCAGAAACCCAAATTTTCAGTGAAGAAGGAGCTTTGATTCACATAAAAGAGGTTCTAAATTGAATACTAACTTCGAATCACAGACACCAACAGAAAACTATTCACAAACCATAATTTTTCAAACCAACAAACTCGCACCTCTGAATTTAGACACCATTCGCAACACACAGGACTCAAAATTCTTTCTCCCCGGCTTTCTCACAAAATTCAGCAACTGCTCATTTCCAAACTTCTCAAAAAATTGAATCTTATCCGCGGTCCACGCATAAGGAATTCAGAAATGAGGGGATCTCAGCATATTTGCTTCAAAATCTCCTTTCTTCTCTCGGTGCATTGCCTTCCCGGAGATCTCTAGCTACACGAGAGGACAAAAGAATATTTTTTTACCTTCCCGTTTCTTTGTATTTCCCCAGACACTACTCTATCCAACAAACAGAAAAACCAGAGAAGAATAATTCACAATTCGCAGCACAAATCATGAAACAGAATGCTCCGGCGAGCTAGGGCGAATATCCGGCGATTGCGCTCGCCGGTCGCCCTCTGAGTTGGAGAGAGAATCAGACCACACAACAACAGAGTTTGAGAGGGGAGAGAGAGAGGGACAGGAAGGAGAAGAAAGCGTGAGCTGGCTAAGAAACACAGAAACAAAAACAAAGGAGAAAGAGAAAGGAAAATGAGATTAACAGAAAAATAAGAAAAAGAGAGGAAAATAAGAGAGAATTTAGGCAGAGGGTGTGTTTGTGTCTTTGCCTTTTGTGAGGTTTTGGTTGTAAATAAAGATAACTTTATGGGAACAAATCAGAGCATTCCCTATATATACGATGAGCGAATTTTGTGTGTTTTAACATGAAAAGCATGACGACTGCGTATTACTATTTTCTGGCTAGCTTCCTTGCCATTTCAGTCTTCATCTGCCGCCTGATTTATTTTAGATTTTGGATTTATTTAGATTATATTTATTTAGCTTATTTTGCTGATTCTGCTGGCTGCTTCCATTCAAATGGCTTCCCGTTATTTTCTCCGTTACTAATTCCTAACTACTCATTCTTTCCTTAGTCTTTATGCGGTGCTTTCACCTTATTTTCTCCATCACTGGTGCTGAGAGGGACTCCACGACCATATTCTCTAACATTCTCAGTCCGAGTCTTGCAAACCATAAGAAAAATATCAAAAAAGCTTTTAATTTTATACTAACTCCGGTCGTATTTGTGAACCTTTTTGTAATTTATAAACGATGTTTTATAATTAAAACCAGAGATAGTACTGCCCAACTCTTAATATAGGAACTAGTCAGAAGTGAAAATTAGTTTTAAGTACAGTAAATTAATCCATTTCATCACTATTTTTTAAGTATCCATATTAATTGCACATATTGACATGAAAACCAGCTTATATTTGTCATCAATAGCTAACTAAATTACTCTCTTTAGTATTTACAAAATGATTATCTTGATCTTCAAATGTAGCATTTAGTTTAATGATCATGCAAGGGCTTAATTTAAACGGAGGTAATTTCTTGTATCTTTTATGCCATGCTCCTCGATTGAGATGTAGTTAGGTTAGGGGTGTGATCAGTCTATTATGTCACTTTCAGGCTAATTTAAGTATAAATTATTTATTGTATTTTTAACTGCAAAACATTTATTATAAATAGGCTACAGATTAATTAATCATTTAACAACATGTATTTTTCTCCCCTAAATTAATTGCCAAATCTCATTCAATTCAAACCGCGTTCTCTCATTTATTCCAAAATTTGAACTATTCACATATGTAAATAAAATAATGGTTATTGCCACGTTGCACTGCAAATTTAAAAATCGTTCAAAAGTTGCCTATTACTATTAGGCAAAAATTTCCTTGCATTCGTTCGTGGAGTGAATTATCGTACGTTAAATTATTTTCATATAAAAGATATAAATAATTAGTCTAAATAAGACCAGTCTTTATTATTAGTGGATTGTCTCATAATAGTAGTATAAATGATTTACAGTTTTAGATAAAAACTAAAAAAAGCTGAATGAAAGATGGAAATGTGTTCGAAAGATATCATCATTGCATTAGTCAATGAATAAAGGTAAGTTTTAAAAAGGAAAAATCCTAAAAAAATAATTACTGAATTTTAAAATTCCAAATCAGTATTAGTTATTATACTCATAAAAAATGATTATATTCGAAAAACAAATGACAACATATTTTTGTAATAATTTCTGATTTGGAATTTTGAAATTCAATAGTCTTTTTTTGGGGGATTTTTCCTTTTAAAAACTTGACAAAAACCTTTTTTTTTTTTAATCACAGCGTAACCCATGACCAATAAAATTATAGTAGCCAATATGCATTTACAGTGTTATTATAAAATGTCTAATTACGCACGTCAATAAATCCTGACAATGTATTTATTTACTTGTGCATGGATCCTGCAAAAACATCGAAAAAAAGAAAGCTTTAATTACGGGCGTAAATAAATTTCTACTTTATACTCATGAGTATTTATGAGTATGAATTTAATTATATTTTAAATAAAATATAATTGAATATTTTCCGCTTGGGCAAAAGTACGTAAAACGTAACGTTGCCCATTGGCCAGAAATAACGAACACAAATTTCGGAGCTTCCCGGGCACAAAATAAAACAGTAACACCATTCAAAAGAACACGTTATCCATCTCTGCTTCTGTTTCGTGTTCGGTTTGGGTACGGTTGTCCATCGCTTTAAGGTGGGTGTCGCATCCCATTTTATTTTTTTATTTTTTTTTTAGTAATACTCTTCCGATCTTTATTATAAGATTCAATTTAACTTTTTATTTAGTCCTAATTATAAGACCCAATTCATTTTCTCTTTTATATTTATGCATTTTTTTCTAAGATAATCCTTCTAATAATGATAGTTTTAGCCAATATACTTAATTAGCAAGGATATTTCAAGAATAACAACACTTATTTATTATAAATAACCAATTTAACTTACTTCCTTAATCTCCTCAAATAAGTCAATTGGGTCTTATAATTAGGACCGGAGGAGTATTTCCCATTCGGGCATATCGGAATGATTTGGACCGCGGATTTTTTCTCTCTTTTGTTTTATTACTTACTATTAATTCACCAGCTATTACCAGTCATTAATTAATTCCTTTGCATATTGAAGATGGGATGGGATCCTTCTCGTGTTTGTGCATCCATCTGCCTGACACTCCAAGAGTAATTGATTTTGAGGCAATTTTATCAGTTCATTTGTTATTCAATTATTAGTTATTAATTAGTTGTCTATTTTATTTTGATGGTGTTTGGATAAAAATAAAATCATAATTTTAAAAGTATTTTTATGGCATACAAAATAATATATAGAGGAGATTATCTTAGTTTACAAAAAAAAATAAAAAATTAAAACACCTTTTGAGCAACCCAAACACCCTCTTCATTGATCGCCCACCTTTGGGATGTTGTGAGGATGGATCTTATTGAGAATACTTAGACAACAAGACTAATTACTACTCATTTCTGTATTGAAAATTATAGTTAACAAGTTTTATTTTAATATTAAATATAACACCTCAATTGATTCAATTTCTCAAATTTATAGTATTTTTAAAAATTATTTGGGATAAACATGCAATTTTACTATTGATTTTATTTTTTAAGTACAATTTTACCTACTAATATGTTTTTTTGCAATTGCAATCAAGGATTATGAGTAAAATTAAAAAAAATTATACTTAAAATTGCACTACAAAGATACAAATTACACCTAAAAAATAAGATCAATCTATTTCCAGTTATCTATATAAACCCCACCTGTTCAGGGGCTTACGCAAAAAGATTATCCTACTTATTTTCTTTTTTATTTGGATAAGGTAATCTGACTTCTAACACAAATAACGAAATAAAATATTTTAGAAAAATCAACCGGTGTTTTGATAAATAATAAATTTAACTAATTTTCTTATTTTATATAAATTAGTTACATAACATAGTCACACATTTAGATCAGTAGAACCACAGCGGGAATCGGATAACAAAAATAACTTGTAAGAGTGAGAAAAAATTACTTTACTCAAAAATACATGAAAGGCATTATTTTTAAGTGCCAGCACATGCACCTGCTCCCACAAGACGCCACCAATCAGCAGCCGCTTTTAATTTATATCCCCAATCATTTATTCTGAACATCTCGTTGGTTATATGTTATAGTTATTTTAATTTTAATTAATCAACGCCGAGGGCCATGTTCTTATATATAATATCCTATCATATTCGCATGTAGATTTATTATAACTTTTTTAAAGCCCCGCTGTTTGATCGTATACCACTCAACAACTAATTTACATTATATTATTATTAATATTATTGTCTATCATTGATGATCAGCAGTTGCCTTTTGTTTTTGTCCCCTTGGCGTGATTTCTTCTTTAGCCCCTGCTCTCAACACTCCCAATTATTGGTCAGATTTTTTTTTTGGAATATAATTAATTGTTAGTTTTATAGATTTAGGCCTGCACAGTAATATTCCCACATATAATTATTGACATTTTGTCCCGTGGAAGTTGGAGGTGTCTTTCCTTCGCATCATTCATTGTTATTCGATAAAAAACAGGTGGACGGAAGAACAAAAACTTATGTGGTTTATACACAACCTCATCACTTCCCTTTTTACGGGAAATTAAATCAACTTTAATGATCTTATCTGAAATACCCTGCTGATTCTCAGTGTAGAAGCTACATAATTAATTTAAATATATTAAAATGCGAAATAAATTAATAATTTTAATAAATATCAAACAATCTTCCTAAATTATTTCTATATAATATTATATTATATGCTCATTTTTAACTAGATAAGTTAATTTAAATAAAAAAAAGGATCAATAGGAGAAATGAAACAAAGTAAGCTTTTACATTTTGAACTCCTTAATTAAGTTTTATATTTAAGATTGAAAGAATATGTTAATTAAATGTATACGAAACACACACTAAATCCTGATTTTTCAGGGCATTTGGTTTCCAATGCTTGATGTCTTAGGATTGGAATATTATTTGCGTAGCTTTTAAATAAGATATGACGGAGAATCACTGCAGGGATTAAAAGTTTGTAAAACAAGGATTAAAGTTAATTTTATTATTTACTTCTCTCTCCATCCATATCTTTATTCGGCCAAAAAGTATATATAATTTTATATTCGATATTCGTACACCCCTACTCATTGGCATTCATTAAATTATTATAAAATTATTATGATAATAATTAACTTGTGCCTGGCCCTGTACATAGCTTGTATCAAAAAACCTGACCTGTCTTTGTATTAAAAAACCTGACCCATCTTATTTATCTCACTCTCTTGTTTACCGAAAATGGACCATTTTTTACGAGCATATGCTCCAAAATTTTTACTAGGCTTGACATGCTTGCGAAACAAAAGAAAAATGACACATACTTTTTTTATTAACTAATAAATCGAAATGAAAATAATTTAATTTTTAATTAATTCTATTTAGAAATGTCTGTGTTTCATGTAGTGAGTCCCTGGTGTCATGAAAATGACAATTCTAGTCCTTTTACAACTTTGAGAGAAAAAAAAAAATTGAATTATAGATCACGTTATTAATTTT